CTCTCTCTCTCTCTCTCTCTCTCTCTCTCTCTCTCTCTCTCTCTCTCTCTCTCTCTCTCTCTCTCTCTCTCTCTCTCTCTCTCTCTCTCCACTGTGTATATATATGTATATGTATCCTTGTGGATGGAAGTACTGACCAGCCAAAGTTGGTGACTTGAGCGGGATGTGTCATCCAGGTACATGGAGCTACAAATCGCCCTCCTCTCCATTCCTCAACCTCGCACGTACTTGTAGGAGTACTATATAACCATCACTGCTCTCCAGAAGCTACGCTGACGGGCCAAAGATTCTGTCATGAGTTTCTGATACCATGCAGGTACATGTAGCAGTTCACCTCCCACAGCGGGCTCCAGTATGGTGTCAGCAGGTGAGTATCGTCCCCCTCTGTAAACCTCCAACCGGCCTTCTAACTCAACTTCACGTACTTGTAAGTTGTAACACTACTGATTTGACTGACCACAAGGGCACGGGTATGCAGCCCATAGGCAGTTTTGGAAAGGGGAGATTACATGAGATGATGTTGTTGTGGAATTGTGGCAGGGTAGGGGGGCTACTCCCCCCACCCCCCGCCGCTTTCCGCCCCTTCAACTTGTTTTCCGAATGCCAATCCCCTTGCCAAGGAGAAATAATGTGAGAAGATGTTGTGGCAGGGAGGGGGGCGACCTCCCCACCGCCCACGCCATGTGCGGATGCTGTGCTCATACTCATAATATAGCACCACTGGTAGGTCCGGCCGGTAGGCAGTCCGCCAACTGGTCGTAAGAGGGTCATCCACTGATGTTTTTCCACTGATGTTTTTAATGTCTGAGTTTGACGCTGTACTGTGCTTGCTGAGTGCAGCCCAAATTCATTTCCGGGGGGGGGGGGGGGTGAGAGGGGCATATTTGGGTGGTATGGTGGTGCATTTCTTTCTTTTATGATCGTTTTTTTTGTTTTTTTCTGCGGGGTGCCTACCAACAGCTGACCGGTAGGTACTGGCTCGTAGGCTGCCGATCAATCGAGGAGCGCCTACCGTTGGACTACTCTATTGGTATCGTTTGTTCTTAAATTTAAAATAATTTTAAGTCGTTTTTTTTTTGCTTTTTAAAACAATCGTTTGTTTATGGATAACTGGAAACTAGAAACAGACCTATGTGCTTCTTTTCTTTTCTTTTTTGTTTTCTTGAAATATCGTGTACATTCAGGGCCTTTTTCAGGCTAGGATGTTGGGCATTCTTTTCAAGGGCACAGGGATCACCCCACATATCCCGCAGGGCCATTGACAGGGCAGAGGCCTGAGTGAGAAGATCTTTACGGTACCCAGACGCTATGGCGTCACCTTCGCTGTCCGTGAGGTGCTGCGAGGACCCCCACACCCTCATCGTGAGCCCCTAGCCCCAACCGGCACGATCTGTTGGGCGATCCCCCCATAGGTTGATATTTTTTAACCACCCCTACCTCTGAACTTATTTTACTGGACCTGTTTGTTACCGAGCCCTGATGTACCAAACCTCAGGTCAGAGCTCAACATGTTGTTTTGCGGCCGACTCTAGCTGTCATGATCTGTGATCTAATGACGGAGATTGACAAGCACAGTATTTTTCAAGCTGTGCTGCAGACCTTTTGTACACCTCTGTCAAGGCGAATGGTCGGTTTACCTTGGGATCAATAGATCAAGTTGTGTGTAGCATTCAGCCAGCTGGCACTGGCAGGCAGTAAACCATTTTGGTTCTCGTTTCTGCTGAGTCTGACAAGCTTGTGGCTGCATACTCTCTGCATGCAGCTGCTGTTAAGGAATGAGGAGCACAGCTTCAAGCTCTTCGAGGAGGACTGGGCAATGGAGAGCAGCTCCATGGAGGGCAGGGAAAACATGGATCCGGCAACACCGTCAAGTACACAAGGTGGTGGAGCCAAGCTTTCACGCACCCGAGTGATGCTGACAGCACCAGTTGAGAAGCAAGACGGTGATGTCAATTCAGAGAAGAGTGCCTTGCCACTTGTAGGAGGACGATCAATAGTGTCCGATGCAGACCAGAATGTGGGGGGCAGGGAGGGGGTTGCCAGCGCAGCACAGGATGTGGCCAGTATGGAAGACAGTAGATGGGAGGAGAAGATTGCAGCAGTGAAGTCAAGGATGGGGAAGACATTACCCGGCCAGTTACAAGCTACAGAGAGTCAGAAGTTGGGATCCCTGGGAATTGGAAAACTGCCAGAGAATTATCCAGAGCAAACTGCACTTGGTGAACAACTCTGGCGAAGAAAGGGAAAGTCAGCAGATAAGGAACAGGGTTCCTCTAGCTCAACGTTTGAGTCGGAGAACTGGAGTGTGCTGAGGATAGGTGCTCGGGAGTCCCACAGTCGCCAGTGGGAGTTCGGGGCTGGAGTTGGAGGACTGGAATGTGCTGAGGAACAGGATACCTCTGAACTGGTCCAGCAGTTTGACACATTATCAGCACAGTTGTATTCGACAGAAGAGGAGGAGCCAGAGAGGGGAAGTGAAGATATTGAAGATGGGGAGAAGATTGGGGAGTTGGAGGTGTGGGCTCTACATCATCAACATCAGAACGAACCTGGGCACTGTACAGAAGTGAAGCACGAGGAGCACTTTGACGTAGAGAACCAGACTGAGTGTCAGGCGACGCAATCTGGAACTGGTGAAAGTGGTGAGAGTTGGAAAATCAGGAAGTGCAGTGACTGTGGACGTGAAATGCACGGAGGAGGACAGATTTGGGAATCGCAGAAGGGCAGCAACTTTGTAAAGAGGTCATCTTCTCTGAGTGTGGCGAGTACAAGCTTAAAACATAGTGACAATGCAAATTGTCTGCCGAATCTGACGAGCATGATACCTGAAGACAGGGGATGGCCAGAGATGATGAGGGGGCTAATAGAAGCGACTCAGGCAAGCGCTTTCATTCATCCATTGGAGCCAATCGTGGAGGAAGTGCAGGATTCGGCATCTGATATCTGTAAGAGGACAGGCGCGAGTCCATTTCATTCAAGATTAGAAGACGAGTCTGTATCAACAGCTGCAGAGTCTATGGCAGCAGTCGAGGTATCACATACAAAGCCTAAAGTTGACCGGGTTCAAAGCCGCATTTCTTCTGTGGCCTTGGCTGTGGACAACATGATTATTCAAAGTTCTGGATGCGAAGGAACAACAAGGGACAGAGCAGCAACTCCGAAGGGGAGAGACACCATAGACCAAACTGCAGATGAAGAGGGGACTGAACAACTCGGAGAGAGGCCTAGTAAGACTGGACAGGAGCTTGCACAAGTAGGGGATGTTCGTTTGTCTCTTGCAATGAACTTGAAGAAACCGGACACTGGTAACAATAATGAAAACGCTGGGACACAAGGTCTGTCAGATGTTGTGTCCTCAAAGCTGGAGCCCAATAGGGAGTTGGCTCCAGCTGGCTCAGACTTGAAGATGGCGGCACCTGTCAACTTTCCGCAGCAAAATACCTTTAACCCTACATCACAGGCTGGAAGGCTTTCAGAAGCGGCTGGGAGGCTTTCAGAAGGGGTCAGTTCTGATGAGATCCATCCTCACAAAGCAGGCAGTTATGTGGTCAAGGGCAGCAAGACATCAGGCAGCAGCATTGGGAGTTCTCACGGTCGTCATACGGACATAACATTTATGGGCATTGCAAAGTCAGAAGAGTGGCAGAATCTGACAATGATGGAGTTGCTTCGGGAGAGTGGACTCCTCAAGAAGGTGAGAGCATAATTCTGTGTTCTACCTCATTTTGGTACCAAGTGCCACTTTCAATCCATGATCTCTGAAGCTGTTCTCCATGAACTTGAACCCACCAGTAGCAGCTTGTGCATTTGTTTGCAAAAGGGACCAATGCTGGCTGATCACTTCAGAAAGTTCCGAAAGCTCTCAAATTGGTCTCAAGGTCACGAAACACGTCACCCAAGGTGTGTCCCCCTCTGTATGTGCATATATGTGTGCATCCATGTGTTTGTTCCTGTTTCTGTCTGCAAGTCTGTGTGCCAGCGTATGCACGCTTTGATCTGTATGTGTGTATGTGTGTATGTGTGTCTCATCCAGTCCATAGCAAATCCACTGTGCGCTCCGTTATTACAGTGGTGCACCAGGTCCAGGCATAAAAAATCAACACTGTATAGCGCTCATATGTCCGTGCTGATGCTCCTATTCTACATTACTGGACTATGACAAGCAAAAAGACCAGGCAACCAGCACGTAATGCCAAGTCAGCAATGACAACAAACAGCCAGAAAAAAAGCAGCAACTGCCAGCAAGGCACTGGAGGGCACAGGGAATGCAGCAGGGCAGTCCACACACAAGCGCACAAGGCAGTGAGAAGACAACAAACAGCTAACAAGAAACAACCAGGCAAAATCAGCAAGGCAAAACCAATGACGCAACACATACGCTGGAGGGCAAGGGGAGGCGGGAGGGCAGACAACACACAATCATGCAAGGCAGAGAAAAGATAACAGCCAGGAGACAAGAAAGGTAATAGTTCCAAAAAACAAAAGCAAAACTAAAATAAAAACTGATGATGATAGCCTGGCCATCCCGCAACCGATCCAACATCATCAGCATAGAGCAGATGGAATAAGCGGCCCTGATTTCCTTTTTATGCATAGCATGATAGCAGTTGTGTCTTTTGATTTTTGCTTTTCAGTAATGGCCAGTTTTTGTAGCTCGTTCGGCACTTTGGAAGACCTTTCGTTATTGGAAAGAGTAAGGGACGCTGGACCTGATTGCCAGCGCTAGTCGAAGCTGGGTAATCGCCCCAGTAAGCTAAACACCCTTGCTCCCACTGTCTTTATGTTTCCACCCAAGGCTTCCTGTCCACCCACAGGGAGCGAAAGTTTGCTGCAAGATCAGTCCTTTCGTTCGTGTCAGGCTATTTAGCCTGCATCTGTCTGAGCTCCTTCCAAGCAGCATGTGTGTTTGTTGTGATGGATTCCACAATTAAGGATCTTGCTTGCAAGTCGTTATATGTGTTCTGTTTGTGTTTGTCAGCGCAGCGCATCTGCCAGGCCACCATCAGGACTGGCAGGTGCATGCAATTAAACAAGTTAAGCATAAAGGGGGACCATGTTGCTGCCTCTGGAGGGATCTGCCCCAAAAGGATGACCTTGGCATCCCATGGGAGGTGGGAGCCCGTCAGGTAGTGCCAGGCGACGTCCCACCATGCCCACAACTTGGTTACCATTCGGCAATCTAGCAGGCAGTGCTCCAATGTGGCTCGTTTCTTCGGGGGGGGTCGACCGCAGTATGTGCAGAGTGAGGATAGCAGTCCTTGGGTCTCCAAAACGGCATGTGTACTATTGACATAAAAGCTGGACAATTCACCCCCATTTCTGAAATTAGGGTAGCAGTGCGACGAAGCAATTTTTTGGCAAGCAACGTTTCGAGCCTCAGGGGTGGTGTTGTCGCACAGCAGCTTAGGCACGCGGGCTATGCCATGGAATGGTACACACATACACGACTTCGAGGATAAGCAGATCAGGAGTTCACAGCAGGGTACACATACAACTTCAATGACAAACAGACCAGGATTTCAAGTCACCCTCTTTGCATCTATACAACAGTGTCTACAGTTTCCCCTGAACAAAACCCACGTGCGTTGTCTGTGAGGAATTCCCGGCCTCGTCCTTTCCATTTGAAATAAAAGGGGTAATTCTTCCGGGGAAAAAAAAAAAAAAAACTGCTGACGATAGATTGTTTTGCCGGACTTGCACAACTCATCAGGAGTCTGAACCCTCGACAATCTGGGGAATCCCCATATTGATGCTTTGGCTCAAGAACCCTTCAACCCTTGTTGAAAGCTGACAGACTGCAGCACAAGCAGCAAAGCAACAACGCAGCGAGACACAAGGCAGCACTGACAGAGTAGCCAAACTGCAAGGCAAACAGGCAGGCTGCATGTAAGACAAGGCAAGGCAAGGCAAACAGATGGGCGGCTAGGCAACAACGCATTGAAGCACAAGGCAGCACTGACAAGGCAGTTAAACTGCACAACACACAAGCACGCTGCATGGAAGACAAGGCACATCGATATCCAGCAAGGCAACAGTCCAGTGAAGCACAAGGCAACACCAACAAAGCAGCCAAACTGCATGAAACCAACCAGCTGCGAGGAAAGACATAAGGAGCGGGATGGGCAGCAAGGCAACGGAGGAGTGCAAACAATGCAGTGCATACATCCAACGAGGACCAAAGCAGCTCACCACCTACTCACACCACAGTGGAACCCCCTAGACTGGTTCCCACTATCTGCTCAGCCAGGAAGCCACTCCGATGGTCATCTATCATCACCGCTGGACCATATGCATCACAGACATCACAAACAAATCAGGCCCCTAATAGTGTTACAGGCACTCCAAACACCCTACTGACTACTGAGCACTTCTTAGAAGTGCTCGCTTAGACACAGAAAGTACATACAAAAAAAATAAAAAATAAACGTGCAATGAACCAGCTTAAATTCAAACCCAATTGCATCACACCGTATTCTCAAAAAATACTCCAAACAAGGCAGCGAGATGGAAATTAGCCAAAAACTGCGATGATTATTCCCAAAACAACTGAATTATCCAAGTACCAAGGTCGTAGCACATGCAGCTATGGCTGCCAGGTCATCACCCTCACTCAGGTAAGTAAACTCTCTCTCTCTCTCTCTCTCTCTCTCTCTCTCTCTCTCTCTCTCTCTCTCTCTCTCTCTCTCTCTCTCTCTCTCTCTCTCTCTCTCTCTNCTCTCTCTCTCTCTCTCTCTCTCTCTCTCTCTCTCTCTCTCTCTCTCTCTCTCTCTCTCTTGGTACCTCTCCTCACTTGTATCTCTCTCTTCTGACTTGGATCGCTCACTCTAACTCTCGTAATGTACTTGCCTCTCTCTCTACCACTGCCTTGTCAGCTATTTTGGTTGTCTTCTTCCTTGCTAGGCGGCCATGCGCCGTCTTCTTCCTCAGCCTCCCTCACCAATCCACCCGTTCAGTCTCACAAGCGTCCAGTAGAGTTTCCGCAACACACGAAGTGAGAAGTGAGTTCAGCGAAGCACTGTAGCTCTATAAATAGTGGCTGAGTTGAGATCTTTGTCGGCTCCAGACCGGTAACGGTCTCCGAAGGCCTGTCGGCTGCACTTGGTCCTGTCGTTTCGACTCTTGTTTCATGTGTCCACTGCCACAGGGAGATGGATGGTCCATTGTATGTGATTTGCCGTTTTCGTTCCACTGCCTCCGGACATAACAGATTTGCTATTTTTGTTCCACTGCTGAAGTAGGCAGGCCATCGGACGCTTTTTTTGTTCCACTGCCACAGGAAGAACTCCCGAATTACTAAAATTGTCCCAGCTTCATGTGGCAGTGGAACAAAAACAGCAAACTACTTAATATATCTACTCCTTTCACTTGTATCTTTCGTTTTGACTTTTGACCTTTGTGTTCATGAAGTCTATTGACACTGGCTCTCCTGGTCCCAACGCTATGGGTAACAGTCCCAACAGCCCTAATGGGGGTTGCGTTGTACTTTGTTGCGGTGGACTTTACAGCTCTGCACATACAAGAGGCAATCACTTTTTATTCTGGTCCATACGTATGATCGCAGTAAATTTGCATAGGTCTTTCCAACTGAAGTGACCTTCCGTATCGTGCCATTCACCAAGTATCAAGCTGCAAATCTCTTCATCATTCAGTATACGAAGTTTGTCTTCCGTGTCTGATTTTTGAAACAACAGTCCGTCAATCATATGGAACTCCGGGACTTCATGGGGCGCATCTACTACCTTAGCTTTGATGTGGTAAATAAGGATCAGTGGGGTATGCATATTTAATCTTCTGCTGCAATTCCTATCGAGGTAGGTAACTACAGCACCAAAGAAATCTGCTCTTCTAGACAGCACATCAGCAATGATATTGTACTTTGACTGGTTTCAGTTCGAAGTCGAACTCGTTGATTTCGGTAGCTCACCTAACAAACTTTGTGATATCCTAGCCTGCGTCTTTAACCTGTGTAGCGTTTCATGATCCGAATACACTTTGGAATGTCATCCGAGCAAGTAGTGTCTCCAGTTCTTTAGTGCTTCTTTCAATGCGAACAGTGCTCTCTCGTACATGGATGTGGCTACCTTCTTGGATGGCAGTCACCTAGACATAAACTCTATTGGTCTATACCGGTCTCCATCATTCTGTTGTAGGACAGTGCCTATTCCGTGTTGACTCGCATCTGTATTCAAAATAAACGGCAAGGAAGGGTCGGCTATTTTTAGAACAGGGTACTCTATCAGCGACTTCTTCAACTTCTTGAACGCGGAGGTGCGGTCTCTATCCCATAACCACAGTGCTCCTTTTTTCAGTAGCTTGCGTAAAATGGTTGTGATCGTAGTACAGTTCCGCACAAACTGCCGATAATAAATGGTTTTGCTTGTAAGGACTATAATCCCGTTAACGTCCGCGGTGTAGGCTAGTCTTGAATTCCTGCAATCTTTGCATCCTCCGGTTTAACTCCATCCCCGTCTACTACGTTACCCAAATACAATACTTGGCGCTTGGCCCGCTCACACTTCTTTGGGTGTTGTTTGAACTTAGCTTGCCTTAACTCACTCAATGCTTGCTGTGAATGCTCCCAGGGCTCTTCTAAAGTCTTATTAAATATTAATATATTATCTAAGTATGCTACTACAAATCGATCTAGCCACTCCATAAACAAATCATCCATGCAGTTCTGGAATGTTGCAGGGT